AAATTTGTATGAAATTTACTCGACATATTCTCGACATTCTGAATATGGTCTTAAAATTTCTTGACAAATTCTTGACATTTGAATACTGTCTTGAAATTTCTCGACATATTCTCGACATTCTTATTTTTTCTCAGTATGGCTTGACATATTCTGAACATTTTGAATCGTGTCTTAAATTTACTTGACAGTTCTGAGTTTTACAAATCATGACCAATATTCATGATATAACTTTAATCTTTATTTCTCTTTATATGATATGCTGTTGTTTCAAGTTACACTTCTTTACAACAAAAATAAAAGTTGGACATGTAAAATAATTGAAAATTTGGGTATATAAATATTTTTACAAATGCAAATATGGCTATGAAATCTAAAGTATAAAATAATTCAAATGTGGGTGTGTTGATATAAAACAATTTCAATGTGGGTTTTTAAATAATTACAAATTTTGATTCCTAAATCTTATAAATTAAATGATTCAAACCAATCATACTGCAGACATATTTCATTCTACATTCATAAATTATATTCAATGTTGATATGGTAAATAATTATTATACCAAAATGTGGTTTATATAAATAGCAAATTATGATGATATACAAATCATTCATTTAACAGAAGAAAAATTTGTGTAATGTCATCTGTTGGAATATATTAAGTATTACACATGGACAGGATGTTCCCCATAAAATTAAGGTATTCCACACCCCAGAGTACACGCAACTGTCAAATAGAAGTTATTGCTTTACCTGTAATCAGCCATACAGACCGACCATGCCACTACAATTTAAAAAGTTTGTTGATAGATGAAAATGAAAATCATCATTTTGATGAAAAAAAATTGAATTGAAATGGATTTTCTTCATCAAAATTATGAAGTTAATTATTTTAACATAAAAACAAATTGAATAATTCCCAAAGATTAAAAGAAAATTATTATCTACTCCAGGAATAATAAAAAAAATGTATTTATAATGGGTCCCATCAATGATTTCTATAGAAATCATCGGTCTTATGAAATGGTTCTCAAACAGACATGCATAATATAGATCTAAACATTTTTTTCTTTTCAGGAAGGAGTTATCACAAATATTTATTTTTGATAAAAAATTATAAAATTCAACACTCAAATTTAAATAAAAAATGTTTTTGGGTTGTTCTAAAAAATGAATAAGGTTTTTGAATCAAGACATGCGAGATGGGAACAAATTCTTTGACCTAAACGAAAGCCCCCCCCCTCTTTTTTTAGCCACACAAACCCAAAAGATGAATTGTGGGGTCCAAAAGAGATACAAGACACCTATTTTAGTAAAGCAAATTTGACTGGCAGTTTTGCGAACGGCAAAAATCTAAATGCTGTTTGTCAATACCTTCGACTTATATTCCAAGTGAAAACAATTACTTAAATGTTTAATAAAAATAAATCAAAATTAAACTACATGGGGGATTATTCAGGGTATTCCAACTTAGTTGCACCAAAAGGGTATCTTACTATACCAAATTAATCCTTGATTCTTCAAAGTTTAGTTTAGCCATAATAAAAAGGAGTATATAACAGCAATAGAATGTCATAAACAGTGCAGAATAAGTCTGTTCACATTTCAGGCGAAATTTATACTGTTGAGATAGTGTCAAGACATATTTAAGACTGTCAAGAATGTGTCGAGACATATTCAGACATTATTTAGAATGTCAAGAATATGTCGAGACATATTCAGACATTATTAAGAATGTCAAGAATATGTCAAGACAGATCGAGACAAATTTAAGACAGTCAAGAATTGGTCGAGACTAATCCAGACTCTTATCAGATGATACAGGAAGTGTCGAGAAATTTTAAGACAATGTTCATACTGTCAAGACACTTGTCAAGAAAAATCAAGACCCTTATTAGACAAATTCATACTATGTCAAGAATTTTTAAAAATTATTCAGACAAATTAAGAATGTCGAGTAAAAATTCATGCAAATTCAGACAAAAACTGGTCTTTTCAGACTTTTTGACTTTTGTAGTGTCCGAAAGGGTTGGCAGATCCTGTTCCACGTGTGGCATACATCGTGTTGTACACATGCCATGATAAATCTTGAATGTTTAAATTTCGTAATAGTATATAAAAAAAAACCTCGGAACCTGTTTGAAGAATTGCTTTTATCTATACAGAGATGATCTGCGTGCTTACCTGGACACAAACAAACGACAAAAGACGAACAAAATACAAAATTGAAAACTTAATACAGACCGACAACAAGAATCCCTTTAATAATAAGAATTCGAGTAAGATAAAATGTGGATATGATTGCCAATGAAACAACTTTTAAACGAATCCAAAAGAAGTGGATTAAAGGAACTATACGTACCCGTACGACTTTCAACAATGAAAATTCCATACCGCATAGTCACCTTTAAAAGACCCCGACATGACAAAATGTGAAACAATTCAAACGAAAGAAAAACCCAGCTATGGCCTGATTAATGAAATAAAAAACATTAAACGAAAAATAAATATGACAGAACCAACGACAAACACGGAATTACGTGCTCCTGACTTGGGAAATTTAATGTCAACTCTAGTCACTTTTTCCTATTCAAAATAACAAATAAGTTAGATTTTATTATCTCTTTAACCGAAATTATGCTCCACAAAAATGTTTACCATGTATAGTTATCTTTTATCTTTACTTTCAATTATGTAAAGAAATTTATTTATTGACTGGAGAAAATCGGTCGCAATCAAGCTGCGTATAGGAAACTTGAATTTTTACATACAACTTATAATTAACCATACGTAAACTAACAATTTATCTGTCTGTTCATATTCCTAAGCTCTGTGTGCATTTAATGTGACGAATGCACGCAGATATTTGAACAAATTTTACGTCGATTTAATCCCTGTAGATGGTAAACTATTTTTTTTAGCTTTGATGGAATGATTCCCTAAAGTTCAAACTGCTATGAAATATCATATTGATGATCTCGTGTTATAGCTCGAATGTCAAACGAAGGCAGGATATGGGCATTTAGTTGATTACAAGTCAAGTCATCGGCAATCTCAACATGTGACTGATCTGTCTGATAATCTTACAGCATGTAACATGCAAATAACAAGAGTTTTTTTTTCTCGATCTCGACAGGACAATTGTATCCGTCTAATATCAAAATTATGCAGAAACTTTAGAATATTAGACATTTCTTACAAAAAAAAAACACTGGTGCATTTATCGAGAAAAATACATTTTGCTCTGAAAGTAGATTGTCTACCGATCTCTTGTCATAAATTTTGTACTTTCAAACTGTTTTTACATTTTAACTAGTAGGTATTCTACAAAATTAATCCAATTTCAGGTTCTTTTTGCTTCTTATAGTATGGCAATTATTAAAAAATGTGATGTGATAGCAATGCAAAAACTCAAAATTATTATAATTATTGAATACTTTAAGAAATTATCAATAAACATTTTTAGTAATGGCAATAAAAATTATATTATCAAGAATGCCCCCAACAAAAGTTTTTTGTATTCTATAGATAAACGCAATATAGTAATATGTTGAACAATAGAATTAGTTCTATCCTTTTAACATTAGTACACCAAGTGGGTAACATTATTCTCCATGGAAAATATTGTAACTCACGACATCCACATTAAAATTTCTCATTAGTCTTTATCTAAGAATAAAATTCAAATTCATCAATTTCAACACATCAACTTCATTCCATTGAGTTGTCCTGGAAGATTAAGATGTCAGTAAGTACATGTAGAAAGACAAATATAATATCCAATCTATTATAACAATCACACTTTATGATTGAGATGAATATGGTTCAAATTAATAAGCTGGATTTACATATACTTACTTAATGTAGTATTTAATCTTGCTCATTTAATTACCACAGGGATACTTTCAAATTGAAATGTAGAAGGAATTCAAAAGCGTATTCAGAATTGAGTGATCATAGTTTTTTTAATTTAATTGTTCATATATTCTCAGTACAAAAATAAAAAAATTGCATTTGGACAATAAAGACAAAATTGTTACGGATTAAATTATTAAAATGCATCGAAAATACGTAATCGTGTAACCTAATTTTGCTTACATCTACGTCATTTGGTCTCTGGTGGATGGTTGTCTCATTGGCAATCATACCACGTCTTCCTTTTTATTTTGTTTCAGCATATTATTACCATATGTGCCTATATTTAGGAATTGTTCGCAACCAAAACCGGCTCGTTTCCCCTAAAATTATATTAATTAACAGCATTCTGAAATTGCATATTTTTTCAAATTGTAGTTGATTTTTTTGGGGTTTTTTTTCCAAGTGGTCTGACATATCTTTTTTTGTTAAATTTAATTTGGTATTTTGTTCATTACAGATGTTTTATTAAAAATATTTCGTAAAGTCATATATTCTTGGTAGTTATTATTGTTATTAAGGTAAATAAATAGGCGAGTGATATTAACCACAGGAGATAATTTTAAATGCATCCACCTTACATATGGAAAAATATATATCATTCAATCGAAGCATGTCATCTGTACTATCTTTTTTATTTCTGTTTTTTTTTTTGTGTGTGACCTATAGTTGTTTAAATTTACGTCAAATGGTTTTTCGTGGGTGGTTGTCTAATTTGCCTTTCCGAATATGGGTAATCTCATTATGTGTACACCAAAAAGAAAATAACGTTACGTCACTGGTTGAATTTCCATTGTTTAGTACGTTTCACAACGTTTTGGTGTATGCTTTTGAAAATATTATTCATTAGATTCTGAAACGGCGAATTGACAAGACAGAAATTCCAGATCATAAACTTCAAATGATATACAACATGGCCGTATGGTTGATGGGTGCATATAACTAAGGGGATTTTTGAAAAATTGTCAATCGCCTAAAAATATTTCTTGGAAGGAAAGATACGAACTGTTCGGCTTTTCTTCTTCTTTAAATGAAGTCAATGAAAATTATGTTAAGTAATTGTTTATTCTATTACTCATTTATTTCAGTTTGAACTGTTATACATAGAGGTTTTGTACACATTAAAGCACAAAATTGGTACAACTACCGGCGGTCATCTACCTTATATTCAAGATCTCTACCAGTATGCACAAGAGTCATTCAGAATTACTCCTGAAGATCATGCACGATTATTAGCTAAGGCCACCGAAGAAAAGGTTTGTTTTGGCAGCATCAGATGTAGTTGAAAAAAACGACATACATTTCTAAGAGCTTAAATGCAGTTCTAAAATTGTAATATTCCGTATTAAAGACGACAAAATGTATATATATTGAAAGACATGCATGTCTGCTGCCTTGGTTTTTTTTTCAAAAGAGAAAGTACTATATCGTAGGTTGTCACAAGTATAGAGTTATGTGAACAATCCAAAATGTGAATGATTGCATTTTATGTCATCCTGTTCGGATTTATTTTATAAAATTGATAAATAGATAATCAGTGGAAACACGTCAGCCAACACATATTCTATAATTTGTTTGCGACATAAAAAAACAACTAAAACAAGTGCCTTAGAAGAAATGTATAATGTAAGTAATATTAAATTGTCTAGAAGAATGAACATCACAAATGCAACAATTAAAATTAGTATTGAAATGCAATCAAAGATCGATATTGATATGCTATTTCAGAAGTTTGTCAATCAAATGTTATAATCTATACGTTGTACATACAAGCTGAACATGTCTACGTATTTCAAATCGAACATATAATTGTACATACTTGTATGTATTTTTTCCAGCCACCCATCGTGATTCTAAACGTCACAGTATTAAAAGCAAGAGATCTGGAAGCCAAAGATGCTGATGGTAAATATTCTCTAACACACGCATGCGTTAACAGACTGTTTATTACAATATTACTATAATATCAATTACCTCATTATTTCCATCATTTTGATTCGAATATTTTTACAGGAAAATTATGGAACTTTTACTTTTTGTACTATTCTACCACAATAACATGTTATGAACGCAAATCTTCCGATACTTTATAACTGAAACTTTCATATTCGATAGGATTGTATGTCTCATGTAAAGTTCACGACTCTTTCGTCATTTTGATTTGACAGTATTTGCTAGAGTAAAGGGACCTTAATTGTTTTGATATCTACAGTTGATATATATATATGTGTAACAAATTAATAAAAAAAAACTACGATATAATGACAGATTGAGTGTTCTTTGTCTCGTTTTCAAATTACCAGAGGGACGTCTCTTGGTGGTCGATTGTTAGCTAACGTTTACGCCAAAATGAATGACTTTAGCTTTTAATTGTTAAGATTCCTTTTTTGTGCATGAACATTCCGAAAACATCAGCATATGAAGTATATATATTCTATAGACCTTGTTTTTTACCAATCTTATAACCTTGAAGCACGTGACAGAATATAAGCTATAGCTAAATACAAGCTAATCGTACGTTGTTTGCCTTTTCCAGGATTCAGTGATCCTTATTGTATGGGCGGTATTGTTCCTGGAAGAAGGTTGAATGAAAATGAGTCGGATCAGGGTGTCTTCTCAGATGAAGATGAACAACTGGAACGAAAGAAGAGTGGTAGAAAGTTCTCATTGACAGGGAAGAAAAAGGACAAATCCGCACGAAATATGGTTCCAGCTCGTCTAATTAGGACAACACATGTTGTACCAAATACAGTCAATCCTGAATGGAATGAAAAGTTTAGATTGTAAGTAATTATATGTTGTTAAGGAGTCATAGAACGGCTGATAATGACAAGTCCTTGTCATAGTTCTTTCTAGCAACACTTAAACTATGTTAGCAAAGAGGACACACGCCATAATCACAAAACTTGACACCAGGAACATTACATTTACCAACAACACTTGACTTGTTAACAAGTTAAACATAGCTTAAAAAACGAAATGAGGCAACATTCGTCTACCGGTTTTAAAATCTTGCGATAGTCTATTCATTTTTTTTTCATCAAACCAAGAGAAAAAACATAACGAATTGCATGAATCCTATAAAGCAGACAGAGAGGGAAAGAGAGTGAGTAGGTCGACATGGTAAGCGTTTTCTGCTATGCATGCAATACCCAACATTTGAATCCAGTTAAAATTTCTTATTCTACTGATAGAAAATAGAACACAATCGGTAAAGTTACAGATTAGACGACAATGGTAGCGTCTTTAGATCTTCGACCCCAAAAAATTATATCTTGGCGAAATAAAATCAGATAGGTCGTATCAAACTTGTCGTCAGTAGTAATGTATAGCCCCAATAACATGTTTGTTTATGAGTAATTGCAAAATTGTTAAAAATCTTCATTGTTTTTAGATTGTCTTTATATTTATGTGTCTATATTCGGATTTGAACACTGTAAATAAAATATATAAGATTAAGTTATTTACAATTTCTGTTTGAACGTTTCTCTATATAAACGATATTGATAAAACAGCATTCGCCTTAAAATGATTTTATTTTTCATTGAAGTTTTTCTGTTACAGTGACCTGGAAGACGTAAATACAGACCGTTTGCATTTAGATATATGGTAAGAACAATAATGTTTGGTAAACACATTTTTTTCACATTCTTAAATGTATAACTTCATATGTCAGATTGACTCAGGTATAAGATAACCATTAGCAAAGGGGTATAATAGAATATGTCTAAAAACAAATAACCATAACAACTACGTTATTCATGTTGCAATATATTTTATATCGGCCCTAATGAAAGTAATCACGAAAGAGTAATTACTTTGTAATATTGATTTTATCCAATATATTTCTTCTTCATTGCCAGCAATACCTGAGGGAATATTAATTTTTATATTTATATTACATATCTTAAATATCCCATGTGTTGTAGATATTGATAGTGAAATACGAATTGTTAACAAGTTTTCATATAATGCTAGAATGTCATTTTGTATTTAATGATATTAAACTTCTCTATATTTTAGGCCCATAGTTTACGATGTGGTCTGCCAGACCCTGTTTTTATATGGCTTGTAAAGAAAAGCCCAGTCAACGAAAATTAAACTATCATTCAGTCTTAATGAATTTTTATCTTTTTGGATTCACCCTCAACGTTAACCCTAAACATTTATAAAACCGTAAGATGTACAGATTTTGGCTACTTTAGCAACTATATGACCAAAAGAGACCTACATGGAATAGCAAAATTCACTTTTGTTTGGTTGAGTCGGAACCATCGTTCCTTAGTAATTTCTTCAGCGGAAAATTTAAGAAAGATATAAACTATAAATTATTTACAAACCGAAGCACTGAGCTTGTGATATCCTCGGGAACTTGTATTCCGTCAAAAGTGACATTCACCTAGTGCTAGAAAATGAAAAGTTATTAAAAATCGGTCGAAATACGAAATATAATTGATTCGAAATATTAATATTTAAAATTGAAACTTTTAAGATTTACAAATGACGATACTGTTATTTATTTTAGTAGATCAACAACTAGGTAATATGTTAGATACTTTTATATCTTTTAATTGGCACAGACAAGAACAAGTAGCGATTAATTCATGACTTGTAATAATCATGTTATTCGTGTTTTATATTGTTTTGCATTCATTTCAGGGATCATGATGACGAAGTTTCGGTATTCGATGCTGCCAAGACACTAAATGAAGTCCAGAGTTTACGAGGTTTAGGAAGATTTTTCAAGCAAGTTGCACAATCAGCAAGAACATCAAACTCAAAAGGGAGTGGAAGTGTTGATGATTTCCTTGGATGTATAGACCACCCTTTAAAAGTATGTTGAGGTAGAATAACATTAACGGTACTAATTTTTTCTGCACCAGATGCGTTTTTCAAAAATCATTTTAAATAATTTCCATAACTTTGTAACAGCAAATTTTAACAACACAATATCAACATTAGATAGCGGATCTTTAATGGACTAAAACGTTATATATAGCACATTATTTGTGACAGACTAACTTTAAATTGATAATTCAAGCAATTAAATAACCAAATTAGATTGAGCGTTCTAAATTTATGAACATAATCCTTCTTTGCACGAAAGGGATTATCTTTTCGTCTCATTTAAATTGTCGTTTCTGCACTTGATAATAACACTTAAGGATGTTCGCTACTCTGTTTCAAAATAACAAGCTTTTTAAAAGTCTGTTACAAATTGATAGTTTATAAAAAAAGGAACTAAAAAAACAGAAAAAAATGGAGGGTCTGTGTGCTTGTTTTCAAGATATAACTCATTGAAAATTTGGCGGGAAATTATTCTCTCTAGATTTTTCATACATTTAACATTGACACCTGTTTTCTTTCAAAAACTTTGAAAACATTTCAAATATTTTCAAATATGGCTTTTTAAACTATATGTAATAAAATTATGGTAAGAAACGTAGGGGATATCAGGCAACATTTTTTAATGGCACGCCATGGACAAAACCAGAGGATTCCGAATATCTGGCAAAAATTCAAAAACAAGAGGAGCTAAGTACAAAAGAAGACTTAAATAAAAATAGATTATTTTATTGATAACAGGACATTCCGTCAACTGGAGTCGAAGAATGGTACAAACTTGAGGGTCGATCTTCAAAATCTACAATTCAAGGAGATATTAAATTGATGTTAAGTTTAGCCACCAGGGAAGATCGCGGATTAGACGAGGATGATAATTGGACAGATGTTAGACAACATGAAGATCTAATCAGTGTCTTTATTCAGCATGAGATATCGAAATCACATGTAAGTTTCATTTGTTGTTTTGTATGTATAAAATGTATTGGTAATGCACCGAATTTTTAATATTTAATATTTTCCTCGTCTTAATTTTTACACAGATAATGTATGAACTGAACAAAATGATACAAAATATCTGACGTTTATGTATGTAATTGTACTAAACACGGAACTTCAAATCCAGTGGTTGTCTCTGTCTGTTATACCGGTGTCTTTTATATCGTACAATACGGTATAAGGTTTTCTCACTTCTGAAGACTAGACAATCACCTGTAATCGTTTAATTACTCCTTTGTTCCATGGTTTTTTTTGGTTTGTTTTCTAATTAGTAGTTATATCACATCTCATTAAATTCATATCTATTGGTCTATACCGAGCGGTCAATGAAAGAGCATAATTAATAAAAAAGGAACTGAAACAAAAAACACTACAAAAATAAAAATAAAAACGAAACAAAGAAATAATCCGTAGAAAATTTCACCAAAACTTAAAATAAAGCTTTATCAACGAACACATCTTCAGTCCGGGTTGTGAAATTAGATATTATGAAAGGTTGACAAAGTCTCTTCTAGTGGCACACATTGTATTGTTGTTAACAATAAATCCGCTCATAAGTAGTATGCCTAAGTAATTTAGTAGTTTTATAGATCTGACAGTATCATTAAATGTTATTGTCAATACAGAAATTTGTTAGCTATTAACGTTAACACCACTAGTACGGAAGTTGAACGAACGACATGTGTCTGTACATTTCAACTTAACAAAGACGAATGTTTCTTACACTGCATGATTCTAAATGCGTTCGACAGTTTCGAATTTACTCCCAAACTGTGAATCAGAACAAGCGGACGTTTTGAAACCATTATTTCTACAGTTATTGCATGAGCTACAGCTATTCTTCTGAACCTTTAGTAATAAGTATACATTGCGAAAAATTAAAGTCTTAACGCAAGCGTTTTAATCCTTTTCTAATAATATATTCGTGTTTTATAAACGTGTTAGTTAATAAAGTCTAACGTTTGATTTTGTCAGTTTTTATGGACTTCTAATTTTTTAATTTACTTTGGATTTCGGTATTTTTGTTAATACTTTTTTATATATACAGGAACAACCAATTAAATGGAATGGAGAATTATCAAAAGCTGCAGAAACTATTCTTCACCAGCATGCAATACAAGGGGATATAACTGCTGTTCAACAGGCAGTTTGGTACGTTTTTAATTAATATTACACAATTATATTAATACCGTTCAAACAAAGGTAGAATGAATCGAAAAATGATTCGTATGAACTGATGAAAAAATATAGATACTTAGAAATCTTCAGTCCTTAATATTGTTCAATCTGGATAAGAAAGACTGATTTGTCGTAATGGGGAATTGAGCTATTTATATAATAAGAAAGAAACAAGTTATCATTCTATTGTGTATACTATTTATAGATATCAGAAGATGTAGAATGAGTGCCAATGAGACAACTCTCCATCCAAGTCAAAATTTATAAAAGTAAACCATAGGTCAAAGTACGGTCTTGCACATTAATGATAGTTTCAGACGCTAACCCAAAGTGGAAAGCGTTAAAAAAAGACACAAAAATATTAATACAATTTTCTCTTAGAGAACTACAGTCAAGTACCAGAAAATTCGCCATTTCATAATCTAATGGAATCTTGGTAAAGTTTTCAATATCCCACTGTTGTGGTTAAATTACAACTTCTTCATCAATTATAGTAATCCAGTGGCATACTGCTTTTTTGGTGTTCGAACAATAAAACTACCCTGCATACTCTATATTCTGAAAGGTAGATTAATGGCATTTAGTAGTTTCATCACTAAAATCATAAATCCATCTATAACATGTAAAAGGTTTTAAACTTATATTCTGGCCATAGTCAATTCGGTGCAGTATCCTAGATAAACAAAAACGTGAAACTCTTTTGGAAGAAACGTGAGTCAATCTTTGTAATATAAAGTTAATTAATTTTCATTTTCAGCCGTTGGATGGCTTATGCACGAAAACATTTTGAACATTCACTGAGTTATAATTTGCTTTTACAATTGTTGACAAATCTTGATAAGTTATGGTCACCAGAATCGTTGTCTAGAGAAGAGGTATGTATGTACTAATGACAAATTAATGCGATTTTCTGGATACTATGGTTACCTACTTAGACATGTTTTGCTAGCACCAAGTAAATTGAGCAATGCGTTTACCTTTCATGTATCAGTATTGTAAACCATCTTGCAAACACCTTTAAATATTAATATCATTTGCATCTTTTTTACATAATGATTGAATTTGAGTAATACTCATTGATTAGGGTATACCAGTTCAATTACTACTGCGTGTCAAAAGATCTTTTAAAAGTCATTTATTGTAGATATTTTACTTTACAATTAGTTATCTCTTTATCTTTATTCTTTATCAACATTAAATGGAAAATAAAACTGTCTGCGATTACTTTAAAACACATTTTGCAATTCTAAGCAAACCTTTTTATCTTTCGCTCATGGAGACAAATGACTTAACCATGACTGTAAATGACTTTACAATGTTTGTCTTGATCTGAGTTGAATATAAAATATCGAAAACCTAAACAAGTAAGGGACAGACACATAAAGAATGTGGTAGGGTAACACCAGTACTTGAGTGCTATTTCATTTTATTTCTTTTTCAGGTTAATCACCTTAATCATTTTCGGAATAGGTTACTATCTTTATTCGTTTCTAATTATGTATTCTTTTGCAGGAGGAAGGTCTAGCACGGTGTTTTACAAATTTTATCAATTATTGTCTAAGTTTACTACGGAAACAAAGAGAAGTGTTTCCTTCTTCAAGTAAAACCGCCTTGAGTCGCCTTGAATCAATGCTACAGTAAGTAGTTTGTTCAAATCTGTGAATTCTTTCAATAGAAATTGCCAGTAACTAAATAGTTAAGGATACATGTATTTATTTTTCTCTTGTCCTGTATTTTGGACTTTTGTGTATCAGCTATTCGAAATTGAAATACATGCATTACTGAAAGATTTTTATATGATGAATATGTATATATGATGTCATATTATTAATTGCAAGGAAACATAAATATTTTCCAAGATGGTAAGAATGTTAGCTCATCAGGCCCAAAGGGCCAGTGTGAGCTTTGGTCATTACTTGGCGTCCGTCATCGTCGTCCCTCGTCCGTTAATTTTTACAAAGATCATTTTTTTCTGAAACTACTGGTCCAAATGTAACTAAATTTGGCCACAATCATCATTAGGGTATGTTGTTTTAAAAATGTGACTGTTGACCCCTCCTTCTAACCAACATGGCCAGCATGGCAAAAAGTAGAACATAGGGGTAATGTGCAATTTGTTTATCTATTATATATATAGATAAAATAAATCTGAAGGGGCAGTCCATGTTCAGAATGTTTAGATATACATACTGTCTATTTTCATCAAAACCGTCAGACATCTTCCTATAGGACTAATGGCCCTTAAATGATGAATTTTGCCTCTTGTTTCATTTTTGCCTATTATCTTCATAGATCTACAAAAAAGTTAAATGGCCGATATCATCAGTCGACTCTGTATTGCAGTTATTCCATTTTATGACGATTTTTAACACTTTTAGCGTTTTTGACCAATTTTTTGCAAACTTTGAAAGATAGAAACGTTTAAAGCAAAAATGATCAGCGAGGGAAGATCTACAAAAAAGTCAGCATACATGTAACTGAATTTGTTAGTTGTCTTCTTAAATGAGTTATTGCTCTTCAATGGCGATTTTTACCTTTTTTGTGTTTTTGGCAAAAGCTTTAAAAGATAGAGAGAAACTGTAAACGGAGTAATTAGGAACTAATTTACAACCACTGGGTCGATTGCCACTGCTGGTGGAGGTTTCTTCACCGGGAGTAAGATTAGCCCAGTAGTCAGCACTTCTGTGTTGTCATGAATTATCATTGATATGGTCATAATTATAAATTAAATGTTTGCAAAGAATTTATCGAAATACTTAGGATTTTCTACCCAAGAATGTATAACCTTAGCTGTATTTGGCAAAACTTTTCAAATTTTGAGTACTCAATACTCATCAACCTCGTACTTTATTTATCCTTTTTTAACTTTTTTTAATTTGAGCGTTACTGATGAGTCTTTTGTAGACGAAACGTGTGTCTGGCGTACAAAATTGTATTCCTGGTATCTATGATTTTTTGCAGGTGCCTGGGTCAAATTCATGTAATGAAAATATATAAACATGTCTGTCCATTCAACAACGAACTGCCGCTGATTGTTAAACCTATTGTGAAGGTAAATATTGTTTGTATGTTTATCTTTTACAACATACGTTTTCCCGTCTTCTCTTTTTGAACAAACAATACTACGTTTCAAGATGTTTTGTTTTCTTTGAATGACTTTGAAACACTTGTTTTTAAAATTCTGCTAATGAATGTTGAAGTTCTTCCTTCAAATTACTCAATCTATAATTATAAATAATTTAATATTTACAAATTACTTTGCAATAAAATGATTTATTTTTTGAATCTGATATATATTCTGTCAATTCTGTCTCTTAATTTGTTATGCTTTTTTTCAGAAAGGAACCATAGAGTGGTATGAGAGGGTTCTTCATTTAACGAAGAAGAAAGTTAAGGTAATAAAACACAATTTAAGCACTACTTTACTGTCATCTAATTGCTATATGAATAGTGTAATATGAAAACATCACCATGTTTTGTATGATGTACTGAACCATTTATTCATAAAACATCGATTGACATTGTTATATACACGTAATAACAAATGAAAGTTAACCCTCGATAGTCAAGGTCATTCAATCATAGACTGGAAAATATCCCCATTACCGAGATTGAGGGCAGAAATATGCATTCCGTGAATAATACGCTTAAAAAAACTAAACAAAAACTACTATATGCATTGTTTAGAAGAAACGATTATTGATTAAAAAAACAAACATTATTTATTATTTATTAATTTTTTAAATCTCTCATATTCGTTTTTAAATTTTAAAAGTTATATCGTAATCAGATATTTCTAAAATTAAAATTTCGATGATTGGGCATTGACATTTACAAGTGTGGGTCAAACTACAACAAAGACAATTGAAAATATACTTTAAAAACGAAATATTGTATAAGAAAAATATAAACATAACAATTCAAACTTTTGGTGCATTTGAAGTGCTTTTCTTGATTTACCTTCATCATGAATGTTTAAAACAAAGTATTGAAGCCAGGAATGCATTAATGTTTGAGGAGCTGTATTACCAAAAGGTACTATAAAATGCGAATGTGCTCTGTAACTGTTTCGGTTTTTATACATCCTCAGCTTTCAAATATTCGGATTTGAGCGTTCCGGGTGAAGGTAAATCAAGAAAAGCGCTTCGGACGCATGAAATTAATAATGTGTTGTTTTCATTTTTTGATGTACCAGATACACAGCAAAATAAAAATATAAAGTGCAGAAAACAACATTATGCAATGCATTTTATTATGCTGGAATACAACTAATTGAAAAGGATAGATTTTTTTTAAAGTCCCCAATTTTGAAATTCAAATCTGATAAACGGTTTACATTTTATGATTATAGGCACAAAACTCAGAAGATGATATGATACATTCTCTGATAGAAATGACAAATACTTTGAACATAGATTTAGCAGCAGCAAATACTTGTTACAATCCTTTATATGAACGGTAATTATTGTGATGTTTGGTAACATAACATACAGATATTGAAAAATGTATCCAACATAACAGTTAAAAAGTAGATAAAAATGGGAACTAACAATATCATTGTCTCAGGTGATCTGAAATACGTATTATGTGAAACGAAAAGCTAGCACCTTGATATATCTATCAGCATTACAGTATAAATCATTACAACCACATTAATTTTAAAACAGAAAAAAGTGTGTGATTCTGTTATGATAAAGCATGATGTTGAATAAGCCAAAAACACATAATAAGCAATTGTATTTACATGTTTATAATGTCCACCACATTTAGCCTTATAAATACATATAACAGAATTCTACATATAACCAGGTGCGAAAATATCAACCTGTTGATCTGGGTCTTGAAGCAAAGCATAAACCTCTAATTTTAACATTAAAAACTTCAAAGAACCTGCAAATTGAACATAAATCAGAATAATAACTGCACAAAAGTAAGGAGATGTGGTACGCTTGCCAATGAGACCATTGCAATATCAACCAGAGACCAGGACAAATTAAACATTGTACCACAATGACTTTCTGTAGTTTTATGATATCATTACTTGTATTTCGAACCAAAGTCATCATTGGTTTTCTCTTCTTTTGTAGAATTCTAAATGTGACATACTTTGACATTACTTTTCGGCAACTTGAAAAAGTTGTAAGTATATATAGATTGATTCTTTAAATTGATGTCTTAGTTCAACATCCGGTGTTAACAACAGCGGTTATTATAATTCCGATAAAGGTATATATAGACTGGTTCTTTAAATTGATGTTTTTGTTCACCATCCGGTGTTAACAACAGCGGTTATTATAATTCCGATAAAGGTATATATAGACTGGTTCTTTAAATTGATGTTTTTGTTCAACATCCGGTGTTAACAATAGCGGTTATTATAATTCCGATAAAGGTATATATAATTAGCTGCACTAAAAAGAAAACTTCAATATTCGGTTGAAAAAGAATTGTTAAAAATCAAAGTAATATCTGAGAATTGCAAAAAGACCCCAACTTAAAACTTTAAACAAAAATCATTGGGCATAAGATTTCGTAGACGTACACGTTGTGATATGTACCAAAGAGATCTCATATAATTTGATAAAGGAATTAAGCACCGTACAACTGTTTTTGTTTGGGTTGAATTTCTCGGTAAATGGTTTAAAATGTATAAGAAATATATTGGCATTATCCATTTTGCCGTATTCGACATTCAAATATACTAGTAATTTGTTTGGTGGGATGATGTAGGTACTTTTGCTTCCAGTTCAACGCCTATAAGTAAATTTCTGTCTTGTGTTTTACCTTTTACAGCCCAATTGTTTTTGATTTTGAATTTCTAAAAGATTCCTTGTTATGCCATGAACCATATTTTAGGCTGAGCGTTAGAATGGCCAGGAACAGATTTGAAAATAAACGCTATGCAATTTTGATAATAATCACAAAATAAAGAAAGGTTTCAAAAAAGACTCAGCTATTCATGTGTATTTGTAATTGCCAGAATATTTTTGCGATTTTTATTCATCCGGTTTGAATAAGCGTTACTTAACAGCCAATGAACAAAACAGATTTACTGTTTTAAACCAAGTGCGAAATATTTTTTATCTCTATTTTAGTGTAGAACTTTTAAAATCTGCGTTTAAAAAAAAACTTTGTTATTTCGGTTTAATCTGTTAATGCATGACCAATTCATAAATTTGTTTGATTTTGAATATAAATAAATGTACATGTATATATGTCACACATGCTTAATATTTTTGTTAACATACTTATTTGCATTCTGTCAAACCTTATAATTTCATGTAGAGAATTAGTAATAGACATCTACCTTAATTATCATTCCATATTAATTCACGCATTGCAATGGATGAGGATCTACAATGCAATTTTTTCTACCATAGGAGGGATTCATGTTCATCCCTTTACGTAATGTGGCACAGCAATATTTGAAAACTAGAGATAATTACAGTCGTACAAAATTATTGTATAAGCAATTAGAGAAATAAATGATATAACCTATTTCTTATCAACTTAATGGTAATCATCATCATCATCATCATTTGTATAATGTTTTAGAGATCATTCTATATCCCACCCATACTGAATTGAGTTGTTCAATTTCAGCTCGCTAATGATATGCATGACATTCTGCATCAGGAGGTATTTATTACTTCTGCACAGTTTTAGAAGTATTCAAAGATTATATATATATATATATCTTTTGCATTTTTTCCCTTTTTTATTATGTCCTGATATATAAAATATCTAAAGATTTTTTTTATGCTTTTCGTTACTGAAAATAAGTACATTTGTACGATGAAAAAATTTGTACAAAAATTTTGTTCAGACATATATCCCATTTTTTACCATGCTACACAGTTTAGTTAAATCTAACAGTTAGCCTAACTTTGCTTTATTTTTTCCACTTGAAAATTGCATATCAATGATTGTTTTTGCTCAGTTCTTATTATGGCACCCTCAACGGAGTTGGGGCGACATACTGTTATTCTACGTTTCTTTTTGTTTTTCTTATTATTTTTCTTGCACAAATTTTCTCCGCGCGAGTTCTTGGAATCCAATGGACCAATGTTGATGGAACTCTACTATAATGAGGACCCCCATGTAAATTTGTGCACCTTGCTATGGAATGGTAAAAAATGGCCGCCGTTTCCATGGAAACAGCAAAAATGCCAGAAAAATCAAAGTGTTCCAAACTTGAAGAAACTCTACAGGAATGGTAACTAGCATGTGCTGATTTGCAGTTGGACATCGGAATTTTCAATATGGCTGCCATTACCATGGAAACAGCTAAAATATCAAAAATTCTAACTCTTCCGTTAAAAGACCCAACTGGATGAAACTTAGTGAAAATATTACCCAGGATGCCAAGATGCCAAGACAATATTTGGATACTCCAAAATGGCCGCCGTTGTCATGGAAACTGGGGGCAAATTTAACATTGACCCTATGGGAAAATGCATAAAATCAGCATTTTCTTAAAGAGTATTCCAACAAAGTCAATGAAACTGTATTGATATATAACATGACATGTGGCAATGAGATGTCTGCTTTTAGAATTTTGGAACTATCCACTGTAACCATGCATGGCTGCAGCATAAATGTCCAAAATTTCAAAAAAAAATCAAAATGCTGCAAACTGGATGAAACTTTACAGGAATGGTAACTGGCATAGGCAGAGTTGCATTTTGAAGTTGGAATTTTCAAAATGGCCACCGTAACCATGGAAACAGCAAAAATGTCCAAAATTTCAAAAGGCTCCAAACTTAATGAAACTTTACAAAAAGGATAATTTGCATGTGTAGATGCACTCTTTGACTTTGGAATTTTCTAAATGGCTGCCACTCACCTGGCAACGGGGGAAGGGTGCCATCCGCTATTGCTTGCAATTGCAAATCTAGTTATTATTATTATTCTTCGTCTTCCGCCGCTTTTTTAAATGAACTTGTCCGCATCATTTCTCCAAAACCGCTAGTCAGATTTACTTAAGGCTTCACAATATGTTAGATTAACATGTCTAGTGGTGCAATCAGGGTTTCGTTTGTGCATTGGGGTCTAAAAAGGGGTTCTTTTAGGGGCCAAAAGAAGGGAGGGGTTGACTATAGAACCCAATGGGATTTTTTTTTCAAATGATTATAACTTGAAAACCGTTAGTGATAGACACAATCTTTATAATTGAAAATGTTCTACATGATAAAGCACATCAAATGAAATAAGGGTTTCGTCCCCAGGGGTCACCCCACCCTATGCCATTTGACAAAGTTCTAATATCTTGTAAGTGGTCAAGATCCCCACCCCTAAACCATATATATTCTGGTTAATCATGATACTGCACATAAAATGAAGTAAAGTATTAGTCCCCAGGGTCACTCCCACCCCCTGCCATTTGAGAAAGTTCTAATATCTTGTGAATGGTTGAGATCCCCTCCCCTAAACCATATATATTCCTGTTCGTCATGTCACAAAGATTCGAATGACATATAGGGTCAGTCCCCAGGGTCCCCCCACCCCAATGATCTAATATCTTGTAAATGGTTGAGATCCCCACCCCTAAACCATATATATTCTTACTCGTCATGTCAAGAAGATTTGAATGATATATAGGGTCAGTCCCTAGGGATCACCCCACCCCCTGCCATTTGAGAAAGTTCTATTATCTTGTAAGTTGTCGATATCCCCACCCCTAAACCATACATATTCTTGTTTGTCATGATACAGTCTATCAAATGAAATAAAGGATTAGTCCCTAGGGGTCACCCCATCCCCCTGCCATTTGAGAAAGTTTTAATATCTTGTAAATGGTCGAGATCCCCACCCCTTAACCATATATATTCCTGTTCGTCATTTCGCAAAGATTCAAATAATATATAGGGTCATTCCCCAGGGGGTTCCCCCACCCCCAATGGTCTAATATCTTGTAAACGGTCAAGATCCCCACCCCTTAACCATATATATTCTGGATTGGCATGCCAAGATGATTTGAATGATACACAGGGTAAGGCCCAAGGTGTGATCCCCACCCTGTCATCTGAATATGTTCAAATAACTTGTAAATGGTCGAGATCCCCACCCCTAAACCATATGTATTCTGGTTTGTCATGCCAATCTGATTTGAATGATATACAGGGTCAGTCCCCAAGCATCACTAATGCAAATAACTTTACTGGACCAAAGCAATTTTCACTGGACTTTGCCCAATGTCAGGCGACCCTGGGAATGACGAATTGTGGGAACTTCGTTTGGGAGACTTCGTAACAGCATCCTGTTACAATCATTTCTTGTTTTTATTTGATACAATTGTATTTTTTAATTTCGAATTAAATTTTCATCGCATGGTAATATAATAAATTTTAACATGTTTAAGTCAAACTCACAATTCCCATCTCTTTACACACTTTTTTCTTTATATCTTATTTGAATCTACAAAGCACACACACTTTACTTTTCACATTTCCTTGATATTTATCTATAATGGAAGCCAACTAGAAACGATATAAGTAATATCCATTATGCATAAATGCTAACTACGTAGATCTGTCAATATTCTTACAGCACTTAACACTTCAATTGAAGAAACATGTAGCTTTGCATTTACATACACATTACTATTTGAAAAAAAACAATAGTTTAGTTTTTTATATTTGAACTAAATGTGGGCTTTGCAAACAATTTTTACAATTGTAAACTAATTAGCTTTAAGCAAGGCATGTAGCTACACTAAGTTTAATGGAAAAGTAAAATCTTTATATATGTCAAATGCTGTGTACGCTAGGTCAAGGTAAGCGGTATGCATCCCCAATCCTTCAATTTCCAGATTATTTCGCAATAGCAACGCTTATGGTCAAACATGGCAAAATATTGGAAAGTTTATAATAACTGGAAGCTATCTGATAGCCACTTGTCTGATCTTTATATTAGATTAACACCACATTGTACCAATACAAAATTGATACATTTTCTAATTGTAAAAAAAAAAATTAAATATTCAATGTTTAACAGATTGTATGATCTATGAATTTATTTTAGCGAAGCTTCTGAATTGTTTGTTTCTTTGGTTTATCCATAATAATAGTTAAATTTTTTGTACATAAAAGAACTTTTTGTAAATTACTGTTTTTTTATTTTTCTTGTATATTTTTTACATGATTATAGTTGAAAAATGTTTTATAATACTAGTATATCAATGGCAAACTCATTGCATTTGCTCTTTCGAAACGCTTTTCTGCTTAAGGTGGTACCTAACAGTACAGGGAGATAACTCTGTAAAAATCAGCTAAACGTTTTAATTACGTTGTATTATTAAGGAAATATTAAGCTTCTCAATGATCAAAATTAGTGTTTGTCAAACTGCTATATAACCAATGAAATTTTTCTGATAAAGTGGTTGGTTCAAATTTTTTGAAATTTTTTTATATTTTTGTCAAAGGGTCAAAGTAAACATTTTGTCAAAATTTTATGAAAATCAAACGAGCCAAATTAATATTAGTCAAGGTGTTGGGTACCACCTTAAGGCAACATGTATAATGTTCTTTTGTCATATTTTCAAAAAACTAGAACTTCACAGCATTATCAAAAAAATCATTGAAAAGGTAGGGTTTATAATTGAAACCGATTAAGGATTAATTCTAGCTTTCCTATTTCAATGTGTTCAATACAATTGTTTTGATATTCGATAAAAATTGCAGTTGGACGTAGAATTCCACAAAACAGTTCAGCAGACGATCAGAAAGCCTGACAGCACTATCAGGACAGAAATTCAAGAATCAAAAGGCAATATTGGAACAGGACTGTTCGAGCTTTACCTAGCATTACAGGAGTTTTCAAGCTTCAGAGATAAACTAATAATGGGGTAATAATCTTGTGCCTAACAGTTAATTCTTAGTATTACAACGAGATTCATAAAATGATATTCGTATGAATATAAAAAAAAACTGATGTGTTCAGTACATATGATTAAAATAAACTCATCATAGACACCAGGATTAAAATTTATTTTACCTTAAAGTTTAAACATAAAAAAAATCTTGAGGTCATCAGATGAACTTAAATAACAAGCTAACGTATTTTCCAAATGTCATGTTCTGCATTTGTTCTAAGTTTGTACTCATGATGATAGTGGTGAATTATCAAAACAGAGACCAACACATGTCTACCGTTCAGACCAAATTGTTTATTGAAATAAAATTAGTACATCCCACAATCAAAGACAACAATTGACGAGGTTCCTTACAAAAAACCCACATTTCTGTAATAACGTGTATATACGGTGCTAGTAAGCTCGCTTGACATAACATTTGTTTGTCATGTTTACACTATACTTTGAAAGTAAAAACTCTTTTAGTTCAATGAGCAAAACTAGCGTTTCGTCTTCATTAAACCTGGTTTTATAGCTAGCTAAACCTCTCACTTGTATGACAGTTGCAAAAAATTCTATGATATTGACAACAATGTTTGGACAAATCAAACAGATATAGTAGGTAAAATGTCAAAAGCTCGGGTACAACAGTCAATATTGTGTTATAATCTTAATCCCTATAACAACAAACACGTGTGTCAACAAAGAAAAACAAAGAAAAAACAAAATGGTATATAGACACTCTATAGATAAAGCACATAGGCAAAAATGAAAGTCAAGAACACAAAAGATGACCAATAGCACAATTACACAATGGAGGGATTTATAAACACCGAGTCACGCTCCAAAAAGATATTACCAAAAATGGACTAAACAGTAAAGGTTAATAATATACATAAACAAATAAAAAGAACACTATAACACATAATCAAGATGATAAACAACGTCAGTACCTAGGGTCTATACTTCAAGACCATGATGTATTATTTGTGAAGTTGATACAGAATATTTATCAACAATATATCTTCACATGAACTTTTAAAAAAAGGAAGAGACGTTCTTTGACATAACCCTGATTCATCAACTTTCTACTCCGACGCTAGTGACGTTTTTGTAAAGTCTGAGTAGTAGCTGCAAGCTCTTGAATACCAAATGAGTTAGGAATTGTATATCCCATATGCAGGTGAAGTTAGTATATTGCTGCTAAGGTGGGGGAAATTGATAATTCCAAAATTAGAATCGTCTCGTTTGTCATACAAATGTTCAGTGGTACTTGAATTAACACAGTTGAAAAATACATCGATTCAAACTTATCTGTTTTATTGTATAATGAAATTAAATAAATATATTTATGCGAAGTAATAAACCTCTTTCTTTTGAAAACGATCTCATTTGACACCTTTTTCATTTTTTATAGGGAGAGAAAACAGAAACTACATATTGTTCAGTATTATCAGTGGTTCAGATTTGCAGTACAGAAATGGTTAGATATCGCGAAAACCAAAGCCAAGCAAAGGATTCAAAGAGCTGTTCAGTTAGACAAGGTCGGTTATATATCCTAAAATTATGTTATGTATTATTATAAACAATTAAATTGAGAATGGAAACGCGAATTGCGTCAAAGAGACAACAACCAAAGAGTAGAAAACGGCCAAAGGCAACCAATGGGTCTTCAACACATCGAGAAAATCCCGCACCCGGAGGCGGGTTTGAATATAATGGTTATACTTATAATGAACATTGTTTTCTAAGATTCAATGAATTAATATGTTTCTATAAGCATGATAATCTACAATCTATGTTTGGGGTTAATTGTTAAAACATCAACACCACATAAAGTTCAGGTCAACACTCACTTATATAAACTATAATAGTTGTTTACATTTCTTTATACTCATGAATTTTGTGCAAAGATGAAATATGTATGCATTCATGTTTAGGTTATATCTTTTATGAATCATACCTATCTGACAGGTTGTAGATGTAAAGTCTGGTGTTAAGTATAGTACATCATCAGTTGATGTAGTCTGCTGTTTTTCTCAGGTATGTGCTATTTTAGGACAAATTTTCTTAGTCAAAAATGCTTGGATTTATAACTTAATTATTATTAAAAAATATATTTCTTTGAAAAATTATCAAATGTTAAAATTGTGGGTTTTTTCTGTTTAAACTATACTTCGTCCTCATTTCCTCGACTGTGAAATCACCAAATGTGTACTTACCGCGATCAACATGACAGATGACACTAGTGGAGCAGGATCTTATAACTCTTCCGAAAACGTGAGATCAGCCCAAGTATTTGGTTGCATTTTTCTTGCTCAATCTTCAGTTTTGTGCAACTGTTTTGGTCTTTCGTCTTTTGCAATGGCGTTGTCAGTTCCTTATGACTCATGAGTGTGAAACCCACCTCTGTATGTTCTGCTTCTATTTTATCATTATTTTTTTCAATGTTACTATACATCGTTCATTAAATAAGACAACTATTTTCTCAGCTGAAGACACAAAGTACGCTTTATACATTTTGTTATCATAAGTATCTTGAGGCTTTATGCAATTTGCTTCATCTTCAATACTTGGTATCACTGTATATAGCAATAATATTTTCGAGTTATTCAGTTGTTGACTTTGGTTTACTTGCTCATGGTTACATGTATATATATATATATATGTGTGTGTACTTGCATTATCATATATAAATTGCAATTTAGAACTGGTTATGATTTAAGATTTATCATGCAGTGCACGTATTTTCGTATAATAAAAGCAGAAAAAATAATATGTGTAGTACGAAAATACTTATAGTAAGAATTGATAATAATTGTATAAAAGCATACAAATACAATCTGACCACATAACTTTTATTATGGCTTTTACAGATAACAGAGTTTTGGAAACAGTTGAAATGGCCAGATTTAGTCGATGCATTTCCTTTAGTTCAGCAAATCATCAAAGTAAGTGTCTTCGTACTCTTTTTCTGTTCTCCTGGTGTTTGATATCATATTTAGGATAAAAAAGACTTGAAAGTTTTATAAAATATAATACTCTACTTTATTATCAAGATATTAATGGGGAAAATACATGTTAAATAGGATATCTGACTATGTTTTGATTTGTATTAATCGTCTTGTTGCGTTCATATACAGTCATCTAAGATTCGAATTCAACATATTTAATCTTTCATAAATGTTTTTATATCAGCTTCTTGATAACGAAATCGTTTGATCCCTATGAAATTATATTAAGAATTAAGAATAATATTTCGGCAGGTTGTATTATATACATGCATTTTTAGCAGGTAGAGCTAGCTATAAAGCCAGGTTAAAGCCACTATTTTCTACATAAAGAAATGTCTGTACCAAGTCAGGAATATGACAGTTTTTTTTCATTCGTTTAATTTTTGATTTTGCCATTTGATAAGGGACTTTCTGTTTTGAAGTTTCCTTGGAGTTCGGTACTTTTGTTATTTCACTTTATTTTGAACTAGGATATCTGTGATGGAGCTGTGTTGTACGCTGACCTCATTCATCAAAAACTGATAGCAGAAGGTTACTACGACGATGAAGGTCAATTTGATATTTCAGAGCCAGTATGTAATAGTTACTTCACTTAAATCATAAAAAATAAGTCGACAGTTAACATCACTTTCACCTGTTATTTGCAAATTAGTCAGTGGATTCTTAAAACGAGTTGAAAGTTTGACTTTCTTGTTTTAAGCAGGTTAGTATTTCAATAACAAAATTGTATTATTTTCCTTATTTTAGAACATGAGGAACTGGTCGTTTAGAATATATGTATTATTGGACAAACTATGCAAGAAAACTTTCTTTTTTATATCTGATCTATCGAAAAATTTTACTGAATTAAATGCATGTAGGTTGAATTAAGAAATGAAAACAAAAATGCCGCTGTCTACGACTCATTGATATCCGGGAGTACTGATTCTCTTACGTGCATTATCTGAAAAGTATAACTGATTACCTGATTGATAAAGAACATACATTTTATTATAACTGCACATGTGAAATGAATGTAGAACATGAATTTTCGTGGTTTTTACAGTTGTGTATCACAATCAACAACGTAGAACATGTGAGAAAAGCATTGAAACCTTTACCTGACACGCTCCAGTTTGATAGACTGCAATCAGAATTAGACAAAAGCAACGTTAGAATACAGACTAATTTGTATACAATGATCAAGGAATCGGATAGTAATATGTCTAAAAAGATAAAAACTGTGGTTGACAGAGTTGCTGATAAGGTAAACATTTATGAACAAAATGCATTTTTTAAATCTTTACAGTGATATTATTTGAGGCATTAACGGCAACCACACAGTCACTAATTCTGCTGTTTTACTGCTGCATTACATCAATTGTTTCACGTATTATATTTAAAAGGCTTACCTGAGATTTCTAGTCCATTAAGTTAGAGAGGACTCTCTTGATGCAAAACTGGAAATAAATTAAAAAATCCCATTTTGAGATATTGTCATTTATATTATGATATGCCTTATTCAAAAATAGAAATTTTGCTTCAGGATTCCTCTTGTAAAATGTTAGTTCGGGTATTTTCTTACACACAATTTTTAATGAAATTTTAGGTCAGATACGTCATTTTAACATATTTATGACGTCATAGTGAAATATATGAATATGTACAATTCTGAATTGATATGCCAATATTATGTCGTCTTTATCTGTTATCAATAGAATTAACAATAGTCTTAAAGGATTAATAAATATAACTATTTTTGGAATTTTAGAGACCAAATTGTGACTCTTTTTTAAATACTAACTGATACTCTCTTGATATATACTGCATGTATTGGATACTATTTCAGTGATTATAAAATAAAAACGCATTATAGCACATTAGTGATGGTATGTTACTCTTATAGATGAGACCAGATATAAAGAAAGATGTATTTCACTTAAACTGGGCTCCAGAAACAGTTCCAGCAGAGGATGTAAGTATGATAATTTCGGGATACTAAAGTGCGTATTATAGTTCCTTAGTTTTCCATGTAATATTTTGTATACTATTTAGATATAAGAAGATGTGGTATGAGTGCCAATGAGACAACTCTCCATCCAAGTCAAAATTTATAAAAGTATACCATTATAGGTCACAGTACGGTCTTCAACACGGAGCCTTGGCTCACACCGAACAGTAAGCTATAAAGGGCCCCCAAAAAATACTAGTGTAAAACTATTCAAACGTATTTGTCTGTTAATCGTTTTTCATTTTTTGTCATGGCATTGTCAGTTTCTTTTTAACTTTTGAGATTAAATATCCCTTTGGTATCTTTTTTATACTAAAAGTGTATTACTGTTTTTTTTTGTTGTTGATATTTTTGAAAAAAATAAGATAATAAATAGTACTAAGAATTGTTTGGATATATATTGTTTGACTTAATTTCAAAATGTTATTTCACAAGTTAGTATATCCCCTCTTTTTTGATAATTGAAAATTGTTGTAACATGCAACCTTTTAGAATTTTTAGGGAAGAGGAGTTTGAAATACACCATACATTTATGATGAGTTTTTAAATGTTTTAAAAGTGCTAAAATGATTTAATTAATGTATGCTAATTACATGTACAAAAACAAGGGAAAAACAAGAATGGAAATAAGACGAATGTATCATTACCGAGCTAAACTTATCACCGATTTTATACATACACGAGCAAAATGACGGTCGCCAAATGCGGAACAAAATCTGCTCATCCTTTGGAGCAGCTGACATCACCCTCGATTTGTTTGGTTGGGTTCGGGTTGCTCAGTCTTTTTTTTTGCTATGTTGTGTTTTGTAGACTGTTGCTTGTCTTTTGGTCGATTATATATTTTTTTTACCATGGCGTTGTTAGTTTTTCTGCGAATTATGAGTTTATTCATTCTTTTGGTATCTTCCGAGTCTCTGTTATAATAAGAATGAAATAATTTTAAGATCACTATTTCCTGTGTTTTAAGTTACATCGCTTTTATGTTTTCATTCTGTGTATTGTTTTGAAATTGTTTTTTTTTTTTTCAGTTGACATGTATATCTTTTATTGGCAAAACATGTATTCATTACTATTTTGCTTAGTGTAATTGCATTTAAGTTCATCTTTTTGCAGGCGGTTGGTGACCTCATGACATATTTAGACAATAATCTGTTGACACTTAATAGCAATCTTCTTAAAAGTAATTTTGATAGAATATTGCAATCCATATGGGAGGAGTTATTAGAAGAATTCAAGGAGGTTATAGAAACAGAAGAGCCGGTGAGTATATTAAAAAAAAATACAAACGTCTGAAGTCATCATTACTTTGCAATTGTGTGTCTTTTTGTGTGTGTCCAAAAATGGGACTAGAATTTTAGGGCCATTTGAGGACATATTCCATTTCATGCTTGCATAATCAGACTGCATAAACTACAAAGTAACATAAAAAAGTATAATAAAAGAACTTCAAGGCAAATTCAAAAAGTGGAGGTGAATGAAAACTGACAAAATCAAACGCTATCAATCGACGGAACAAGTGAAACACAACTGCCATATTCCTGACTTGGTACAGACATTTTTAAAAGAACATGGTGGGTAAAACCTGGTTTTATACCTAGCTAAACCTCCCACCTTTATGACAGTTGTTTACAGAAATAACCTCAATTTTAAAGAGTAGTTAGTTAAAATAAATGTGTATTGAAAAACGCGTTTCTTATTATGAAATTCACAACTTTGTGGGAAAACGTTTTCCAACAGAATCTTTTTTTCAAATTTCAGAGACAAACATTATTTTACAAGAGAATGTATGAAGCTTTAGGCTTACTGGTTGACTTTTTTAATGCAAACGAAAAAGGATTGACAATGGCAGAACTTCAAAGTAAAGAATTCAAGGTAGACAAGAATATCTTTTATTATTATGTTGTCTTTTTGAAACATTGTTTTCTTCAGTATATATTTACAATTGAGATTTTTCTTTATCCATAATCAAAATGAATTTTTGAATAATATGAATAATGAACAAATGCGTACCGCATAACAGAAGAAAACTGGACGATGAATTTTCTAGTCAATCTGTTACTATTGATATAGAATTCAAAGTAATCTACTGAATACGAGGTATTTGTTTAGAAGAAAATTAAAAACATACATACCATGATATATATTTTGTTAGATTATTTGTCAGCTGATATGTATATACTTATTACTTCAAAAACAATCTAGAAAATTATATTTAAAAAAGAACCTTGATACAATGTCATGCTGTTGGACACGAAAAAAAACGCTACAGAAGAATTTCAATATTCTTTTTAAATAACCTTGAAACATATTCTTAAACTAGTAGACATATTTTTTTTAACAGTTAAACATTATACAGACCAGTGCCAAGTAATTGATTTCATATCAACGAAATATTTTAATTATGCTGAGAAGTTTTCTGTTAGCAAACATGAACTTTAAGCACATCAAACTTTGTTTTTAAAAATCTAATAAATCTAATCAATATGAAAATCGATAAAACTATACTAATGCTTTTTTTCTCTAAAGAAAGCATTCATGTTTTGCATTTGTAAAAGTGTTCTATTCGCATATGATCATTTTCAGGATCTTAAAAATAGACTATCCTTATACAAAATGGATACATTTGCTTTGATGGAAAAGTTTTATGAAGAAAAACTTGAACAACAAGTAAGCTATCAAATATTTTATAAATTTTAAAGAAAACTTTATCAAGAGTTTGGTTGATCGTGTATTACAATTTGAAACAAAACAAAGTGGAATAAAGTGATAACTTGTTCGTATATTTTTTTATTGAGAAAACGATTTTTTTATATCTTAAGGAGTGAATGTTTCCTTTACAAACATTATCATTCATTGTAGAAATGTTTGATTCTGAAATTCTCATATTAAAATAACATTGTGTTCAATGGATGATTGCTAATACACTAAAATTGTTGAAAAATCAAAACGAGTCAGTGTGCTTATTTATAGAAACAGCATTTGCGAAAACAAACGTCTACAGAATTTTCATACGACGTTTGTGAATGGGAATGGATATTAAACTCTATGAAAAGTATAAAATATTTAACAATTGTTTCAATATATGCTATCATAAATGTATTTTCGATATAAGTTTTAAAAACTATACTTTGAAATATCGGCATTACTTTGCACTTGTTAATGGATACACAAGAAAAAATCAGAGGTGCTACAAAATAATAAGGAAAGGTTGAATCATAAAAGGCAAATATCCTTAATTTAAATGTTTAGGCAAATTGATTCAGCACTTCGTACAAAATTTTCTCTGGTTGAGTCATTCTTTTTATACCCAAGTATTATGTAATAGTATTATTTTTATAGAAAAATACGACTTCGAAGGAATATGGTGAAATCAACGTTAGGGTCTGGTGTAAACACGATACTCATTCTATATTTGTAGAAGGTAAGAAATTGTGTATTTTTCATTTGTTTTGTATAGTCGCCAAGACCTCTTATTTAAGTAAACTGTTACTATAAAGATTTGGTCCTTTACAGTACTTTATTATTTGTTCCTCTATAGTCCGGGTATGAAAATATAATAAGCAGTCTCATAAAACTTGTTTGTTGTATGAATGGATTGGAATTGTTGTAAGATATCCTTGAATTTATATTATGAAATATGTATTTTATTAAAAAAAAATTTTAAAAAAACCTTTGACAATACAAACATAGAACTTAGCGACAACACGCCCGATTGGTAGAGGAGATGATAACCTAGCATTACATTATCATTAACAGTTTTACAAGATTTGTCTACATGTTATCATATCACTGACAAAGAGATTCAAAATATTAGATTTTTACAATACAATTATTTATATTCCTGTTATCAAAATATCGAATTCCTTCCAAAGTTGTTTTTCACTTCTATACCAAAACGTTAACTACGGAATAGTAATAGCGCATTGTTGTAATATTCAATCATAAGTAGAATTGTCTAAATTGAAGTTGACAAAAATCAGATGCATTGAATGTAAGCTAATATGCTTTTAATTCTGTATCCCAATTTTTGACATTTTTATCTATTATGTCTGTATGTTTTGCTTACACATTGTTGTCAATATAATGGAATTCTATGCGATTGTCATATAAGTGGGAGGTTTAGCTACCTATCAAACCATGTTTATTCCACCATTTTTTACATAAGGAAATGCCTGTACCAAATCATATGACAGTTTTTTTTTAAATTCGTTTGATGTGTTTGTGCTTTTGATTTTTGCCATTTGATAAAGGACTGTCCGTTTTGAATTTTCCTTGGAGCTCGGTATTTTTTTTTTTATTTCACGTTTTGATATGTTTCAGTTATTGATGCAAAGAATCTTATTCCATTGGATGCTAATGGTAAGAAAAGACATATGTAAGGTTATAAACATCAGTTCAAAAAAAAATTTGCACTATATTACTTCGCAGACCCAGGATGTGAATTGAGTTTTGGAAATATACGTTTATTAAGACAAATTAAACTAACATGAATTAAGATTAGTTATTTTCATTTCACATCATTTGACATGTACCTACCTTTACATGTACAACAACAATATTACATATGTTGCTTTAAATTTGAAATATTTGCTTTGTTTAGATATAAAACTATTTTTTCCTCAACATTTAACAATATAGCTATATCTGGATTGTAATCGGAATCTGACAAATTGTGACTTTTATAATTTTGACCAGGATTTAGTGATCCCTATGTTGTTCTACAATTCTGCCCAGATCATGTGTTTCCACATGTACCTACTGAACAGACCAGAATAGTAAAGAAAACTTTGAATCCAGTATTTGAAGAAACTTTTGAATTGTACGTATTATGAATTTAATGATTAAAAAATAACGAAGTAACAGTTCATGAAAACATTAATTTATTGACTCATAACATACTAGTATTGTACAACACGACGTTATTATGATTATTTTTTATCAGTCTCAGGAGTCGACTTACAGTATTGCTCGAATATATTTTATGAATGAAGGAAACAGAAAATACACACAAATTAGACAGCGACTCAACAACACAATCAGCAGAAGATACAGCACAATGCATAATATTTGAAAGAATGGAACAACTCAACAAAAATGGTTTATATATATACGTAAATATTTGTCAGTTATTCGATGAATATATTGTTTTATGTCTTTCGTCATTACAGTTCTATAACACCTGAGCAGTGTAAGAGAAGAGGAGCTGTTCTAGTTTTAACTGTTATGGATCATGATTACGTGTTTCAAAATGACTTTGCGGGCGAAGTTTATATTCAACTTTGTGACATACCAGGAATAAATGGCGAAGATGTTTCCGGATATGAGTCAATCAGTTTTATGACTAAACCACTGATTCACCCAAAACCAAAAGGTTTGTACTCTTTTGACCATAATTATATTTTTGCAAATAATTACATGTAATTTTCATTCTGCGTGATATAGGGTTTAGACCTAACGTAACTTTAATATGATCTTAAGGTTTATGACAAAAGTAACTAATAATTTTGTGGACCTGTCAATATTGCCTCATATGTTGACTATCAATAAATCAATATTGAAGTGGTTTTAAGTCATTAGTCTAAAAAAAACATGTAACGTGAAAAGTAATATCGCATTAATATCTGAAATCCCAATTACATTAATTTGACCGTCTTTTACATGCGGTGAGGTGTGCGCTTTCCTTTTTGGCTTTCCTGTAAGCTGAAGAACATAACATTCAAAACTTGACAAAACATGTTCCTTAGAATTTTGATTATTTAATTCACTATATCCCGCCATTCCTGCTATAAAATTATACTTTATTTTATAGAATGCCTTTAAATGTACTTTTTAAATGGTCGATTTAAATCAAAACATGTAGGTGGACCATATTCTACTGGGGAAAAATTTGTAAAAAAAAAATTTGAAATTTGAAAAGATAAATAGATCAATGATTGAAGACATTTTATCATAATTGCTATCTCTGATCCAATCAATATAAAGTTAATGCCAACAAGACGCATTTGGTTTTAAAGTAAATTTAAAGTGATATGTTGTTATCGTTTTAAACTAATAAACTATAAATATCGTTTTTACTTTAAATTCACAGGTATATGCGCCTTAGATGTTTTATCTAAACGTCTATGGGATGAGGATGCTGTAGCGTTTGTAAAAAGGAGAACAAAGCTCGAATCACAGTCTCAATCCGGATGAAATGAAGGATTATTTTTATTTTGTGATGACCACATATTCAAACAAAAGTGTGGCAATGAGAAGAGAAAGTAACAGTAAAATTTAATATTTGACAAAAATGGGTTTCTGTCAAGATGGAAGATATATTTATACACAAAATGTTATACAAGTTGTATTTTTGAAACATATTTTATGTTAGCACACATTTCCGTATTTATATTTTTATGCAACAATAAGTATAATGTATTTGTTAATCCTGGACTTTATTTGATGTAATGTGTGCTCTCCAAAGTTTTTGTGTAATTAGATGTTATGTTGTGATTATGTATATGTATAATTAATCTGTACATATAGTTTTCGATTACAATCTATAGATTAATCATAAGATCACAATATTTTGAAAATACTGTCACAATATACCTTGTCGATACTATTCACACCAGACGTTATACTTGACAAATGTATGTGTAAACATCATTATGTCGATAAATGTTTGTATGCCATTTTTTTAATTGATAAATGATATTTTACTTTTTAAGTATGTAAGCGATTCGTAATAAAACACAATTCATCATTAAAATATCTTCTTTCTTTTTGCATTGGGAAACAACTTAGAGTTTTGATGTAACTTCTATGCAACAGTAGTTAACCGAATGCGATGTTCAATGTTTGATAAATCCATACATATATAAATCAAGGTATAAAAGAAAAAATGAGAGAACTCTTTGAACTCCAAAAGGAGTATGGATGTGTCAACAGGGTAAGCGTCTCCTGCTATTCAAGCATTACTTGTCATGCAAATCAACACATTATTAGCCATGGAAAAGGACACGTTGGTAAATTTGCAAATCAGATGACTTTTCTTGTATCTCAGGATCTAAGACTGCAAAAACATATCTCTTGTGAGTTTAGTCAGACACATCGAAAAATGGGAAACAACTTAGAGTTTTGATGCAACTTCTATGCAACAGTAATGTATCGATGTTCAAATTCCATAAATCCAAATATATACAAATCATGGTATGAAAAAAGAGAGGGAACTGTGTGCACTCCAAAAGGAGCGAGACTGGGTGCGTTGTCAGGGTACGCATCTCTTGCTATGCATGTATCCCTCGCCATGCAAATTCACACTGAATACAATGTCAATATGAAAAAGGACACGTTTGGTAAAAAGTAAAATCACAAAAATACTGAACTCCGAGGAAAATTCAAAAAGGAAAGTTTTCAATCAAATGGCAAAATCAAAAGCTCAAACACATCAAACGAATGAATAACAACTGTCATATTCCTGACTTGGTACAGGCATTTTCTTATGTAGAAAATTGTGGAATGAACCTGGTTTTATAGCTAGCTAAACCTCTCACTTGTATGACATATCAGATTACTACTCTTGCATCATAAAAACTAAGACTGCTAAAAAATGTCGTTTGTTAGTTGAGACAGACATATCGTATCTGCCAACCAATCGATGATGGTGACACTTAAACTCGATATCAGTCGTTTTTCATCACAACTATTAATTGAGATATATACGAGTAGATGCCTTTAGATGTGACAGAGGGTATGTTACTCCATAGAAATTGCAAGTTGCAATTGAAAAGTTGAAATCATCACGTTTAACGTCCCTCAGTATCAATATCGAGGAAAGGGTTAAGATATAAAGCAGATATAAAAGCCCCGGGTTTTGAAGATATCATATTCGGTGTATCTGTTGTTGGAATCCGTGAAGTTTTGCACAAAGTAATATTTGTCAAAGTCATAAGCAAAGAAACTCATCTACGAGACAATTTTTGTATAAAAAGCTCTGTTTAATAAAACTGCAGTCAATCTTTCAAATGAGCTGGGAGTGTAAAGCGTAGAAAAATCAAAAGTTTTGATATTACTGCAAAATTGTAAAAAATGTGATTAGAGATTGTGGAGAAGATCTTTAGAACTTTTATGAATCCACATCTGAGTGACACCACTGGTAGAATAAAGTTCATTATCATATTTCTGAAGGCCATATTTTCCAGTAGATAAAATATTAGTAAGAACATTTTTGTATATATTAAAATTCAAAAAAATATTGCATCAATACATTATCTACTAGGGGCAATTTTGAAATTCTTTGAGTATAAGGATAACCTCAGGTGCTCCGGAACAGGCAAACGTTCCTGCTCCACAAGTGATGCATAGGTCATATCCTGTGATAAAGAATCATACAATTGGGGAATGAAAAAAACTCTTATCCCACCCTGAGAAATGTGAAGTTAGAAATAAAAACACTGATTTTCAAGAATAAAAATCGTTATAAAGTCGCATTAACTTCACAATCAATAAATATAGGACGGGGTTGTGGCTACGACAAGTGGAACATATCCATGGTAATTGAATAAAGAATTGAATGTGGCTACATTTTCGGATAAATTAATTTTATTGAAGATATACTGAACAGGCACTTTTCCCAGCTGAAACAATTTCAGATTTCAATATAATTTTTACAAAACTGAATGTTAGAAACGTTTGATGAGTTTTGTATTATGTTTAACATGCAAACGCACATCTTTCCATTTACCTATTCAATCAGGGTCAGCAGCTGAATGAACAGGACGGCAAACATCGGGTAATACCCATATCCGTTGTTCTGTTTGATCCATTTTTGTTTTTATGCTGTTCAATATTTGCTTCCTATACTCAGAAATCGGGATGAAGGTAAACCAGGAAACTTGTGTCTATCGCATGGAAACCAGTATAATCAGTTTATTTAACTACCTCTACCTCTGGATCTAGTTAACTAGTAGTGTTTCATATACGTAGGCAGAGATAACTTAAGTCGTCGTTTTGCATTGTTTTATGCATTATGTCTCCAGCGTGTATGATTGTGGTTTTTCTAAAAAGGAAATCACTTAAATCCAAACATATTTGATTTTATTTTTAAAACTATGTGACAAATATATGAAATATAGTAAAGTCGTTTGTCATCCTTGGAAGACTGTGTTCATCTCTTAATGATTTTTCATTTTTTCATGTTGTTTTTAGGTCGATGTGGCAACGATGTGTCTACACATCTTTATTCATTTATACAAACAATTGCGACTTACAACAATAAGCTATGTATGACCCTCAACGACCAAAATGAAGGACAAATACATATTTTAAATATATCATAACTTAGAAATTATCAAGAAACTAAGGCTTCAACTACCTCAAACAAAATTGACCTAAGATGTATTTGGCTGTTATTTTTTGTCCATTTTGGTCATAAAGCGCTCCAACTGTTATGGTTCTTATACCTCCTGTGCTTTCAAATATTCGGCTTTGAGCGTTCCAGATGAAGTTAAATGCAGAAAAGCGCAATAGATGCATGCTATTGATAAAGTTTTTTTGGGTTTTTTTTTCACTTTGATATTTCATATTTGTTATGGTTACTTTTGAACAAATAAAACTGAATATGATATGCATTAAGCAGATGTTTAGTCATTGTTAATATAAAATCAATGATACATTAACCAAAAAAAGGAGATTTCGAGAGAGGTCCATATGGTCTCCAAAATGTACACAATGTAGCAAAAGTTTGCATCTTTTACAAAACAATAACCATTTTCAATAATGTTGAATTTAAAAAAAAAATAGAAATGCGTTTTTTTTTTTTTTTTTTTTTTTTGGTCGGTTTTCAACATCAGTAATACTGAAAACGTTTCCAACGATATGTCGTTGCTTAGGATATGTCTTTTATCTGTTTGGAAATGGGGATAGATTACCTCAGCTATATTTGGCAAAACCTTTTTGGATTTGGCACACTCAGTGCTATTCAACTTCGTACTTCATTTGGCCTTTTAACTTTTTTGATTAAATTGTCACTGATGAGCTTTTTGTAGACGAAACGTGGGTGTCGCGTATAGAATAATAAATCTTGTGTAATTGTTTTATTGCTCTTTTTGGTGCTCAGACTACAGTGCATACATACATTGTTACAAGACGTAAGTAAATTAAATGTATGACAATGTTATTATGCGACTAAGAGATGATAAGGATTTACAAGATTCCGATGTGAATATACAGTATATGATACTATCTTAAGATCCATTTAGAGATCATTGAAAATACAATCAATATTTTAAGAGAAAAAAATATTCCCTAATTTCCCCCATCTGACGACAAATGTCTTTAGAAAGATATAAATATCCTAGAAATTACACGTCTTTTATTGATTTAAGAAAAGCATGCACAAATATTAACTGTCTGCCTAACTGTGTGCTCTTTACAAAGTTAATGTTATAATTTGTCTGCAGAAGACAATAATTTAAAACTAAGTTACCAGAATGCAAAGCACCAAAAACATTACACTGTCTTTTTTCAAAAATATTTTTACTCCAAAAACAAAATATCAATAAATAGGAAATCTCTCCAAAATTGTTTGATACAAAGCAATCATAAAACTTATATTCTATAGTTTCTACCTCTATACAACTGACAAATGCATTAAATCTGTATTTTGCAAGAAGATATCTATGAGAAACTATTCTATGTAAAATTTTGCATTGGAAAGCTTGTAGTTTACTTTCTTAAGCACATTTCAAAGCTAATGAATAAATATTTTTCCCTTTTTCATCACTAATTTCTATGTTAAAGGGACATTAACTGTCAAATTCTTTTTCACCGATTTGACTCAAATTCTCATATTTGATTTATAACATACTAAAACGTATATCCAAATTACAAAAGTCTAAAATAAACAATTAACAATGCATGGACTAGATAATATGTATCAGCATTTCGTGTGTATTTTTGTCTAAACGTCATCTAATTAACCATCGAGATGCCCCCCGAAGACTGCCGACAGTCATATAACCCAATATAAATATAAATATAGATATAAATACATAGCGAACACGTGCAATTGTATTTTTCTAGGTCTGTTTGATTTCATATTGTAGGTTAAAAAGTATGTTTATCATCTTGTTACCTGTAAAGGAATATTTTTTTGTGGATCGAATCAGTCGACTAAATGTTTCATCATTGTTTCACTTTCAATGTTGACATTATTTTCCTTTTAATAGCTGAATACAAGCGTAATTAACCCATCTCAATCTAGGGGGTTAAATTAAAGGTCACATGAATACGGATTCGAATTATTTACTTGCAAGTGAATAATTCATCAGCACTGTTTCATAGCTTATTTTGACAAATTGGCTGCTTTAAGCGAATTATTTTTTTTACTATTTCACTTCTATGAATGATTGAACATAAAAATAAATCACATTTTCTTGTTGTTTTTTTTTTATATATCTCGTAGCTTATGCCTCTTTACAGCTTTCTTCCTATCTTCGTTTTGAAATAGGAGTAACTTGTCCCTGATCGATAAAAAGTTAAAAAAAAATTTGCCAAAAATTTTCTAGTCGACATTATTTTTATTCTCATACTCAAAAATAAATCAAAATGAGTAGCTGTTAGCTATAGATGACAAGTGTTGATGTATTAATAACTCTTTTTTAGTCATAGCAAAAAGTAAAGCAAATTTGATAGATAGAAAGTCTACAAAAGTAACATTTACGTTTTATCTTAAATTAGTAGCTTCATGAGACAAATATTACCCATTGT